TTCACAAGAAGGTTTATTAACATTAGGGTTGTTACAAATAATTGGTGAAATGCGCAATGTTGAAAATATATGGATTGGCCTTAGAAATATTTTATGTTAATGGACTTTGAGTCAGATAAGGCCAGCAAGCTAATAGCATTTGGAGTAACGCCTAACTCTAGTACTCATTTGGTACCGTTTTCTGATATGTAGGATTCTTTTATTTTAAATTTCTTTATTGATTAAGTTATTACATATGTGTCCTTATCCCCACATTACCCCCCATCCCACCCACTCATGCCCTCATACGTAGGATTTTGTTGAGTGATTCAATTAGAAGGTTAGACACATTCTACCATAGACTACTATCACAACTGCTTTAAGTACATCTTCAGGCAGGGTACTTGTCGGAATATCTTAAGGCAGCGGTTCTCAACCTGTGGGTCGCGACCTCTTGGGGGGTCGAACGACCCTTTCACAGGGGTCGCCTAAGACCATCGGAAAACACATATATAATTACATATTGTTTTTATGATTAATCTTTTGTGATTATGCTTTAATTATGTTCCATTTGTAACAATGAAAATACATCCTGCATATCAGATATTTACATTACGATTCATAACAGTAGCAAAATTACAGTTATGAAGTAGCAACAAAAATAATTTTATGGTTGGGGGTCACCACAACATGAGGAACTGTATTAAAGGGTCGCGGCATTAGGAAGGTTGAGAACCACTGCCTTAAGGTTAGACATCTGGGACTTTACTGAGCTCATGATAAAGCTGTGGGTTTGTTTTTCATCTTCCTGCTCATCGATGTTTTTGTAGGCACCAGAAAGCCCTCACCTATTTAGAATCTTTGGAGACCTGCAATGTTTACCTGCAAATGCCTGATCATTGTGAATTCCAGTTTGGCTTACATAACTTTGCAACAAGAACCTAACATATTCCTTGGCACACAGTAGGCATTAAAAAACCATCTCTCTTACTGTCATAAATCAGTGAACTGGCCTTGGTTCTGGGGAAAGAAAAAGAAGGCTAAAGTTATCATTCATGATTCTAAAGCTGCCAGGATCCTTCTTTCAGAGGATGGTTTATTGCCAATTTTTTTTTTTAAACTTTAAGACGTGGACTATCTTGTCCATGCTCTCTTAGTCTCAATTTAGAGTCTCTTTAGCAGAGCCACTAAAATCATGTGAAGGTGAGTTGGAATTCTACCAGGGAAGCTTATGGTAAGTGAGGTTTGTTTGTGGAAGCATGTGAACGCTTGGCTGGTCTCCGAGAGCACCATGTGCCAAGCCATCATCTGAAACGCAGCATGCTAGGACCTGGGACATTGTCCATCTTTGATGTGTCAAGAAGATGAAGCGGAACCCAGACGACAGGCGGAACTGAGACCTCGTGGGAGCATTGTGGGAGGTTCCTTCCAGTCAGTATTTACAGAAAATTCTGAATTTATTTTGACCTGCATTGATTAAAGAAAATGTGTCATGGGAAGTAAAGGAAATATGTTTTTTTCTCCTTATTTTTAAAAAAATGTTGCTATTGTTTTTGAAAATGTGTTACAGCACTAGCTACCAGAAATGTGAAAAAAAGAATGATTCTAGTTGAAATCTTATAATAAGCTAATTTTAACTTTATTTGTTTTTCATAGCCTTGGATTACTGGGTGAGGAATGTCATTGCTAACTGTATTTGTAAACTTGTTACCCCTAAAAGCCTGCCTCTGCCACAAAGCAAGGGACAAGGTCTTGTTCTGTTTCTTTTGATAAAGGAACAGAATATAGCTTGTTGGCTTTCAAACAAGCAGTCTTAAATTTAAACATCCTTTTGTTTGCTTTTCTCAGTCAGATAACACAGGAACAATGTGAGGGTGACTGAACTTAATATGTAGGTATTTTTTTGATGGTGTTGAATATGCGGGTCCAGGATGCTCTTGCCCTTTAGAGTTTTTGCATTGCCTTAATATTATGAGGGGGCTCTGATTATTATCTGAGTAACTATCCATAGTTTTGCAAAGCAGTTATGGTAAATTAATTAAAAATGGTAGAACAATTGCAAATATATTTAAAGAATGAAGACCTATTGATGAAACAGGCAGTTTTTACCAAGGTCAGCTTACCGGCATCTCTGAGGTTCTTCCTGGTCAAGGCAAAACAAAGCGTGCAGGCGCTGAGCCACTGTGTACTGACAGTGCACAGCTCTGGACACAGGTAGGGATTCAGCAACTGTGTGCACGACAGTGATTTAACTCAAGAAAATCTCAGGGTAAAACCTATTTAATCTTGTATTAGTGCTGGTTAATGAAAATTGGTTTTTAAACACTTAAAATTCAACGTCCATAGGAGATTGCCTGCAATTATTTGTAGGAATTAGTCAGTGTATCGGGGCACATTCAATAACAAATATTGCCTTGATATGCAATTTATAGAATCGCAGTCTTTTGTAAAGCTTCAGTTATAACAGTCTTTAATTTTTTTACATGAAAGAAACATTCAGATAGTTCCTCTAACATGCTCTCTCAATGGAAGCTGTAGTCAAGAGGGGCATTAGGCCTTACCACCTCACTACACTGGCAATGATTATAACAAAGCAGTTGTCACAGAAAAGGTAGGAAGTCTGAGTTTGTGGTACATATTTTTATCCAATCTTATGAATAATATAGTTTAGGAAACAGCATTGCTTTCACTGTTTTTCTGTAAGATACAGCTAATGCTTAATAAAATCTGGCATGGAAGTGGCCCATTGTTGTATGGAGAGATGGGGCATTTATCAGCTTATCTTGGTTTTAAAATTTTAACTTCTTACCTAAGATGGTATGAGACATTGACCACTACTTTCTTCTTGCCATAGACAAAAGGGAATCACTCCTTTGCCACCATAGGCAACACACCATACAATTGATGGGACTTAAAGTAGTGGCCCTGCATGCACATATCATGTATAGCAGTAATTCACGTCTTTAGTCATTTGCTTTAGTATTTCTAGAATCTGTGGCTTTGTAGGAAGGTCCTCTCTAGTCTGTTAAACATTGCCTCATATATTTTTTAGTACTCTTACAAATTTTTGTTCTTAATAATCTGGATTTAACTTTTGTTAATGATGTGAAATAGAAATATTTTCAGATGAATATCTCATTCTTTCCCATTTAGGAATGTGGTGTAATGTTTATTATGGTAGAGAAATATGGTAGAGACCAAGCAAGAAGCATGAGGCTATGAAAACATTTTGAAAGTCAGGGAGAAAAACAATTAATTCTGGTACAGATCCTGTAAATGACATGATTTTGAGACATATATACCATTTGGAACCACACTACATCTGCTTCTATATATGCAATGTGTATTCCTGGTTTATAAGTTGCCATATACAGTATATAAGAGTTGCCAATTTTTCAATAATATGTGTAAAGCACATTTGGACTGCCAGAGCTGGCTTTGTAGGCAATGGACATGATTTCTCCTCTAACCTTCTGTTCTGCTTTCTATTTTTATTGTAGCTTTTTGTGTATATTAAAAAAAAAACACACAACTCATTCCTAGTTTTTAGGATTTTGAGGGACATTACAGAATTTTTAAGGCACAGTTCATGTACTTAGTAATTATTGAATTTAATTGAAAAATGTCAGTTTTTATTATTTCTATTAATTGGACTTGATGAATAATAAGTTCCTTTCTTTTAAATATTCTTCAGTGTATTAAACAAGGGGTTGCATACTTATTATTTTCAGTTACTTTTCAAATAAATATTTCAAACAAATATTTCAGCAGAAACAGACTTTCATATTTCTTATTACTATGTCTAAAGACCACATTCAGTAGTCTTTTGAATTGTTTAGGTAGGAAAGAACGAGCTATCAATCTCTTGAGCAAGGTTTTGATAGCCATTACAGGCAGTCCCTTGGGTTACGTTGGACTCGATGTACGTCGTTTCGTGGTTACGTCCCTTTTATTTATAAAAAAAAAAATTCCCGTCATTTCGAGGTATGTACATATGTGCTTTTGTTTTTTACTTATTTACCACAAGTAAAGGTCAGGAATTGTTATCTTTCTTTTAATTTTTTTTTACTGTTTCACTTCATTACCACTGTGTATGTGCTCCATGTGAGTGACATAGGTGCTTATGTCGGTGGGTTCTGACTTAACGGCGAAAATCGCGTTATGTCCCCGTAGGAACGTATCTCCGATGTAACCCGAGGACCTACCTTACATAGAAAAGTTCAATGAGAATTTAATTTAAATCTACATGCAAGTAAACTGAGAGATGACAAACAAGAGCTTAACATGCCTAATAGAGTATAGAATAGAAATCAATTTCAGCGATTCTGTGATTGAAAAACAGTTATGGTGCTGACACACTACAGTGTTGGGGCTTGTTTAGGTCATACCGTGAAATGGGTTCAGTGTGGGTGTTTGCTTAGTGGTTCTCAACCTTCCTAATGCCGCGACCCTTTAATACAGTTCCTCACGTTGTGGTGACTCCCAATTTCATTGTTACAAATTGAACATAATTAAAGCATAGTGATTAATCACAAAAACAATATGTAATTATATATGTGTATTTCCGATGGTCTTAGGCGACCCCTGTGAAAGGGTTGTTTGACCCCCCCCCCCCAAGGGGTCGCGACCCACAGGTTGAGAACCGCTGGCTTAGATAGCTTCACAATGCTTTGCCTTAGTTGTATCAGTAACCAGCATGTAGCTAGTATGTATATTCTGATTCTATAAAAAGAAATTACTATTGCCATCCAAATAATGTATTCTGTGGCTCCTATTGTTTCCGAAATTGTTAAAAGTGGTAGAATGACTCATATATTTTTAAATTAGTAAGATATGTTTATTCTCATTCATTTTTCCTCTTAACATCTCAATTGATTTTTAAAATAAAACAGTTATTTAGATGAAATTCATGACACAAAATTTTTAACTTATGTACTTTTAGATACTTAGATTTTTCTTTTTTGTAATTTAGAAAGCCATCCTTTTGGGATTATCATCTTTTTGTTGATCTTTTCCTACAGGTTTTCAGCACATACTCCAATGAAGACTATGACAGGAGAAATGATGAAGTTGACCCTGTGGCTGCTTCAGCTGAGTATGAACTTGAAAAGCGTGTAGAAAAGTTGGAACTTTTCCCAGTGGAACTGGAGAAAGGTATATGAACTCTACATCATTTGTAATATTATTATATTCCTATGTTAATAATACAGAAATGACTTTATTTTTCCCAAGTATAGCTTTTTTCTCCCCTAAGGATTGGATCAAATTTTAATTCTCATGCAGGAGTTTATTTATTAAATTTCAAAACTAGTTGATATAAATTCTCTATAGATGGTGGATTGAAAGATTCTCTCTACTGTCCACTCCCAACTGGAACTTATCTACTGTAGTTGGCTGGATGGTGGTTACGAGCAGGGAGGCATGAACAAGGCCTGATGCTTGGTCGGTACTCCCGCACAGGGCTGGCGAGGTGAGAGTCCGGAGAGAGCTGTTGGAGAGTGTGGAGCAAGTGGTGTTTTGTGTGTGTTTGTTTGTTGTTTTTTGTGGAGGGAGAGTGGTCATGGTTAAACTCTGAATATGGTAGATATGAGGAGTACTGGGCTTTCAGAAAATTATGGATTTTTGGAACGAAGGCAGTGGACTGCTCATCTCTGAGGAGAAAGGGCTAAAGGAGAGCAGGCAGACGGGAGCAGAGGGGCCTCCTGCTGAAATCTCTCCCTGGAATTACAGTCCACCTATTACAGTAACTGGGACCCACAGGACCAGAGGCCACCATGTTTATTGTCATGTAAGACAGGAAGCTGGGAACTCGACTCTGACCAATGAACAGAAGACTGTCACATCTCAAAGTTTTAGAAAAAAGCCCAACAGATGACAACTTGAATAACAAAAAGGAAGCAAAAAACAAAAAAAAGCAAATAAAGATATTCAAGTATGGCTTTAAAAAGACATTCTTAATCAAATTAACAATAACACAAAAATATAACAATTTTTAAAAATAAAAATGTCAGTAGAGGAATTGAAGAGGAAAGGATGATTTTGTTGAGATCAAAGTGGTGACAAAGAAGTTCAAACATAAGAAGAGTCCCAAACTAATTCTCAAATGACAGAGCAAAAATCCAAGAAAAATTGTAGAGACTCAACATACAAAGAAAGGGAAATGGCAATAGAGGATGAGCGATATAGAGAAAAATTTCCTGAGCTCAAAAACAACTTGATCCTTGTATTTGAAAGGACTTAGCCAACTGATTGCAAGTACTTAATAAAAAATCCACACTTAAACATAGGCTGGAAAAACACATGATTTGTAAATGAATTCAAAACAATGTGTTTTTTGTCAGTATCTTTCATAGGGCCAATAAAATGGAAACAAAAGTGAATGCCTGTCACTGAGGAAATGGTTGGATATGTTATCATTCTGTCTCACCATAAAATATTACACAATCATTAGAAGGGATTTAAAGCTATGTTAAGTTGATACTCATGGCATATTATTGAATTAGGAAAGTAAGCTGAAGAGGAAAGTAGGTGTCATATGATCTTATTTGTGTAAAGCAAATAGGAAAGAAAAGCCAGCCATATGTACACTGTAGTTGTTGATATGATTCTATCCTTGATAGCAGGACAGAGAAAGTACTGAAAGACACATACCATCTTAACACGAATGGTGATCGGGGACAAGTAAAAACAACCCATATAAATATAGGGGAAATTCCAGAAATATTATGACCACATTTATTTAAAATAATATATATGGCTCAGCCAGGAAAAATTCAGCCAGAATGGTCCACATAGAGTTATATTAATGTAAAATTATTGAACCTCAAAGAATTTTTTTTGTGAAAGGAGGACAACAAAAATTGAATAATTAATGGAAGTGAAATGAGACAAGCCTCCGAGTGACTAAAAGACAATAGAGAAGGCAGAGGTGGGTGGGTGGGAAGAGATTAACCAAAGAACTTGTATGCATGTATGCATAACCCATGGACACAGACAATAGTGTGGTGAAGGCCTGGGGAGGGGTTGAGTGCCGGCTAGGAGTCAATGGGGGAAAGTGGGGGGACATCTCTAATACTTTCAACAATAAAGATAAATTTTTTAAAAAGGCAATAGAACATCCTTTTCTCAGGAAAATAAAGTATGACTCAATTTTATTACCCTGTCAATATAAACAAACAAAGCAAACAAATAAAAGAATATATAACTGTTTAACTATGTATGCTTTTGTGCTTAAAATATTATATTGTTTAGAGGGGCCATGTTTTAAGGCAGATTAATCACTTAATAATCAAATTATTACCTTTTTTTTGGATCACATAAATAGCTAACTGCAGTAGTAATAAACTAAACTCAGCCTTTTGGGGGTTCTTATTTGACACCCTTGCTCCCCGGCATAAGAAAAAATATTCTCCAAAGCAAGCATCTATCATATGGACTATGGGATAATCCATAAAGATCAAAATTAAAAGAATCAAATAGGCCTCACCAGTTAATTGCAGAGTCATGTAACACTTAGATTGATGTATCTTTACCCGTTTTCATAGATGAGGATGGACTTGGCATAAGTATTATTGGAATGGGTGTTGGAGCCGATGCTGGACTTGAAAAGCTGGGAATATTTGTCAAGACAGTAACAGAAGGTGGTGCTGCTCAGCGGGATGGCAGGTAAGCTAGTCACTGCTTTTGACCACTAAAATCTAGGAAACTTTTCTGAGAATTTCTTTTTTTCAGCTTTCTTCTTTTGATTTTTTAGGACAGAATGTCAGTGTGTCTCATATGTAGAAAATGTTAAAAACTTGAATTACTTTCTGATTTGTAGGCAGAATACCTATGAAAATGGGTGGATAGATCTATTATCTATGTCTAACTTGGTATCTATCCATTTATCTATTTATATAGTAGGAAGTGGGTAGAAACATGGGTGTACTTAGTTTAAGAATATGTTCTGTGGAGATCAGCACATACTTTCACCTCAGAAATATGAAAACATTGATTGGCTGCCTCCTACATGGCTCCTACTGGGGATTGAGGCTCAGAATTTGGGCGTGTACCCTGACCAGAAATTGAACCAGTGACCTCTCGGTGCACAGGACAGCACTCAACCAACTGAACCACACTGGCCAGAGCTAGATGTTCTTTATAGTACCTTTTAACTTTAAAAGGATAAGAGTCTGTATTATACCTTTCTAGCTTGCCTTAGTTTCTAAATAACTTTTCCTTATTTGAAAAAACTCTTTTAATTTAATCTCAGATTTGGTCAGACTATTTTCAAGGGATGTTAAAAAATATATAGGAAATTCTTTTCTTCCTTCTTCTTACCCCAGCACAATAAGCCTTTTTATCGTGGTTGCTTTTATCCCTTACAAACATCTTGAACTCTTACCACATTTTAAGTACTTTTTAAAATTTGCCATGGATATTTATCTCCTGTGTCATCCAGTATAGTTAAAAAGTTTTGAGTTCTTGTTCTTTGATATTATGTTCTAGTTTATAAATTTTCTCTTGTCAAGCTTTTCATGTCTGTCTGTATCTTTTCAAATGATGCCTGGAACATCGAGGGTGCTCAATAAATATTTGTTGAGTGAATGAATCCTTGTGCTTCAATCACTTTCAAAATGTTTACTTGGGCCTAAATTTTTCTTTTTATATTTATTCTCTTCTTACCGTTCCTACTCCTTCTGCCCCTCTTCTCCCCTCCCCTTCTTTTTTTTTCTTCTATCTTCCTCTCTCTTTCTTCCTTTTTGTGCAACCTTGCCTTTATACAGGGTAGCTTGTAGTTTAGCTGAGTGACATGATAGCTATTTCCACCTTCTGTTTTTATTCTAATTTTATAATAAAATAATATTAAATACATTAACCATTAGTTTTTGCTGCCATAAATTTTATGATTGTACACAAAACACTTTAACACACTATTTCTCCAGTCCTCTTTAATGAACTTATAAAGCAAAATGCATTTCATAATAACCCAATTGAAAATACTGGTGGAATAAAATACGTGGGTGATAACTGACAAAAGATAGTAACAATGCTGTGTTACAGAGGCAAATTAAAAATGTTCTTGCAATCTGCTTTGTTTTTGTCTCTTCTGGTTGTTTCTCAACCTTTTGGATACCATCATTTTACAGTACTGTTCTTTCAGGTTTGGGAGGGGGAATATCGAAAGTGAAATTGAAGCACTTTGTAATTTATCATTATTCAAGTGTTGAGTTTTCAAATAATTTGAATTGTTTTTGACCAATCTTTTCAGTAACACCAACATATAAAACAGGTGAAGAGTCTTATTCTTATGATTACCCTGCCACAAACTCGCCCTCCCGTAGGGCCCCTCTGTGCCCCGGAAGTATCCTCAAGCCTGCAAGAACCCTGAATGGAAACTGCCATTTTAATTGTGCCCATCCGCCATAATTCACTAGTCCATGGTTTCCTCTGTGCACACACTCCTGTGTCACTCTTCTAATCAAATATTTTGCTTGTTCCCCCCCTGAGCAAGTTGGGGTATTACTGCTTTGATAGGTATGTATTTTCATATGCATTCAGAGCTTCACTATCTAGCATTTTGGGGAAGACTCTGTTGACCATTAATGTTGCTCCAGCTGGTCTTCCTTTCATTCATTGTTGGTTGCTTTGTTTGCATAAGCCCAGTGAGGTAGAGTTTTTTCTTTGTTTCCCCTTGCCCAATACATCATGTCAGTAAATAACTACCCAGTAACATTAAACAAATCCTAGAACAATCCAACTTATATATTTTATTAGCCTTACCCCCTTGGTACTGGTTTATAGATTCAGAATTGAGGGTTATCAGAAATGTCAGACTGCAGCTGAAGAGCAGTAGTGTTGCACACGTGTTGGTTAGCACATGGAAACTGCTGAGGAAATGGCCGGTACGAGATGCCTTTTATAGATTAGTCAGGTACATTCCCATAAATTCCATTCCAGTGGTCACTGTTCCAGGGCAAATAGGCTATTTTCTCTGCTGTTGTGGAAAATTTTGGAAAATCCAGATTATACATGTTCTTCATTGTGGGTTGGTCTGATGCAGAGAGCTGTCCATTTAATTTTTACTGCCAGGACTCATCCTTGGCTTTTTTGTGCTTCTAATTATGAGCCAAGACTTGAGAGGGCTTTTCATTGTTACTATTCTGTGAGGTTGCATGAAAGGTTATTCTCTCTCAGGGAAAGAGATTCAAGCAAATAACAATCACTTCTTCAAACCGTCCTCAATTTAATATACACACTGAAGTTGTATGTATTTTCAGTATGTTCTTTCATATTCTGTAGCTGGTGGGTACTATCCTTTTTCTAGAAAAACAAAAATTCATTTCATTAGCTAATCTGCACAATTATTTTTTTTCTGTCACTATTGCTTCTGGGCATAGCTTCACTTATCCATATTAAATTGAACTTGTGGCCTACTTAACTAACTTCTTTTTAACCTGCACTGGCAGATAGGAACTTAATAATTGCCTATCATATGCAAGCAATTTAGCAGACTAGCAAATATCATTTTCCATAGCCACACACACTATTTTTACTTCTTAAAGTGAAAGGATGAATGCATTTTTTAATATAATGCAAAGTTATAGTAACTTTGAAACATTTTAGCATATGCATATGCAGAGTTGAATATATAGTCATGTGCCACCTAACTACAGAGATATGTTCTGAGAAATGCATCATTAAGTGATTTTTGGCGTTTGTGAGCATCCTAGAGTACACTTACACAAATGTAAGTGGTATATACTACACTCATAGGCTGTATGATATATGTTTGATATAAAACTGGTTAATATTCCACAGAGATATAAACTATGGCCTATGGGATTATCTTTTCTAACAGAAGAAAAGTATTCAACTTTTTTTCAAGACAAACATCTACAAATTAACATACAACTACAATATGTCTAGGACTTTTAGTCAATATTAAACAGTGGATCAATTAAAATACATCCCCCAAATTATCCTTGGTTGGGCCTGTTAAGTAATGCACCTATATGACATTGAAAGGAAATGTTGCCCTTCTTTTATTCCTATTTCCAAGCTTTAAATAACTTTTCTTAACACATGGCACAACATTTACCTAGGGTGATTGTAATAGCACTCAATTTTTATTGATGGGAAGAGTCAATATGATAAAGATACCAGTTTTCCATAAATTAATCTTAAAAATCAGTATGATGTTATTAAAATACCAACTAGTATGTGTTTTTATAGAACTTGGCAAGTAAATCTAAAACTGGTTATGAAGAGATGCTCAAGAATAGCTCAGAAATTTTTGACAGCCATAAACTAGGTAAAGAAATTGCCCTAACAAGTGTCAAAACTAGTTATGAAGCAATATAGTATGCAGAGATAGATAAACAGACAAGTAGAAACTAATAGAGAACAAAAACACGTTGATGCACATTTGAAAACCATTACAAATCAGTGAAGTAAAAAGCAGACTTTTTATTAAATGTTAAGCCAATTGTTTATATCTTGAAAAAAATAAAAAGATTGCTAACACATTATAATAAAAAATAATATCCAGGTGGATATCTACCTAAATGCAGAAAAACAAAATGTTAAAACCTATAGAAGAAAATGTAGAATAATTTTATAATATTGAGGCAGAGAAAGATTTCTTAACAAAACACAAAAACTACTTAATATAAAGTTAAAATTATAAATGTAATTATGTGTATATATCATTAAATTGTTTGCCTCAAAACCACTGTTTTCCAGAGAAATGTGAAAAGACAAGCTACAGATTGGGGCAAAAGTATTTGCTACATATCTAATTGAGAGAGTGTTATACAGGATATAGAAAAACATTATGTAAACCAATAAGAAAAAATAAGACACAACCCAACATCAACAAAAAATGAGTAAAAGACATGATCTAACAGTGTGCAAAAGTGAACAGTTGACTTGTAAACATATGATAAAACATTCAGCCGCACAGGTAATCAGGGAAATACAATTAAAATTACAATGTGTATCTTTTTACATGGACAAGATCTGCAGTAGGTAAAGGGTCTGAATATACTAAGTGTTGGTGAGGGTGTGGAGAGTCAGAGCTTTTCATATAATGCTGCTGAGAATATGCATTGGTGTAAGTATTTTGAACTGAACTTTATCAGTTTGTTCAAGTTGAAAAAGCCTCTGTTCTTTGACTCAGGAGTTCTCCTTCTAGGTATACATCCTAGAGAAACAAGTGTGTAAAGAGACATGTACGAAATTGATTATTACAGTAGTATTCATAATAGCTAAAACTTAAAATAATATACTTGTCCATCTGCACAAAATGGATGGATATATTTTAGTATATTCATAAAAATAATACTATATGGTTATTAAAGTGAACTAGCTAAAATTGTATTTATAACCATGGATAAATCTCATATATAACGTTGAGTGAAGCAAACTAAATTGTAGAAAAAGAGATTTACGATGAAGTTTGAAAACTGGAAATGTACATATATTATGCCTATTTGTGCATATGTGTTATTTGTATTTCAAAACATCAGTAGAAAGGCTAACCATCAAAATCAGTATGATGGTTACCTAACCTCTGTGGAAGCAGTGAAGGGAATAGAATGAGACAAATAATAAAGGGCTTCAGCTTTTCTGTAATAAATTTATTTAGAAAAAAAACTGACTCAAATATTGCATAGTGCTAAGATCTGATAAAATTGGATATTGGTACATGAGTGTTTATTATCTAATTCCCTCTGTATTTCTCTATGATTGAAATACTTCATTTTGAGTAATTAAAAAAATATATAAAACATGTATATAAATTTAAGAGCATCCTACATCAAACAACACTAATACTGTATATTGCTCCTAAACAAAATACACACACACACACACATGCAAACACACACACACACATGCAAACACATATATAAATTTATATACGTGAAGGATTCCCTGCAATTCTTGTTGTTCTTCCTTGGAGAGGAGAGGTGGGACAAGGTATGAAGCCCAAAGGGTATTTAAGCTGCATTTGTTATGTTTTAAGTAATTTTAAAGACAAAAAAAGATATAAATATGTCATACATTAGCAGTTATCAACTCGTTGTGATAGGAATTTGGATGTTGTATAAAGTGAATCTCTTCATTTAGTATTGCCTATTTCTATTCTTCAAAATAATCTTTTAAAAACATTAAGCATTTGACTAAGATCTAGAGCTTATATATAAAAGACAAATTTTGTATCAATAAGAGTATCTTTAAAAGCAAGTATTTTGTCAACTAATTTATTGTGATGGAAATATATTATTGTAAAAATTAAATATGGGTAATTTTTTTCCTCTTCCCAAAGAATACAAGTCAATGACCAGATTGTAGAAGTGGATGGAATCAGCTTGGTGGGAGTCACACAGAATTTTGCTGCAACAGTTCTCAGAAACACCAAGGGCAACGTCAGGTAAACCTGTGGCTTCAGATATGTACAATTTCATTACTTGATATTTTGTTTAAATTTTCTATGATTATACTTATAGATATATGTAATTATAACAAGAAGTTTACCTAAATGCTAAAATTTTGCCTTTAGTTTTTTAATTTTTCTTTAATGTAATTAGTTCATGCAAATGTAATTTAAAACTAAAAATTATAGTATTCTAGAAAGACATGAAGATCAGGAGTGGACAGTATAAATCACTATGGTTAATTATTGAGCTTTTTTAGTGTGCCTTATTGCTAATACAATAAGAATTGCTATGAAGATAGAATTTCTCATTATGTCCTCAATAAATAAGACTTTGGCCTCAAATCCTTTTAATAAAATCAGTTACATAGTAAATTGAAATGATTATACATATATTCAATGATACATGTTATTTAGATAAGCAGACTGAATGATTTGAGGTTAATAATGCTTTAAAAATATTTTTATTGTTTTAAAGAAACAGATAAAATTATACTTTGATAAACTATTGCTTTTCCAACTTTAATAGGATAGAGGGTGCATTCTTTTGGACCTTAAAATTTATATCCAATCCTGGGGTTCTGAAAATTGTAGCTTGGAAAACAAATATACTGGAAAGTAGTCTTGAGCCAACTAAGGTCAAACTTTGAAATTTGTTTTATTTGGTCATAGGGTACTTATTTTTTAATATAATATTGCTTATGTCTTATACTTCTCCAAATATCCTGTGAATGGATAGATAAGGGGACATTATTTAGTATGTGTAATTATGAGAGTGTTTTAGTGTTATCATCAAAATGAAATGGCCAAATATTCTGAAAATATTGATGAGTTAATTGATCGAGATAAAATTGTGAATTAATTACAGCATATTTTATGTTGCACAAGTGTGAGTTTAAGAATTTAGACTTTTTTTAGTTGGAAAGCACCCATTAATGCTGAAGGGAATGTTTAAGAAATACAACCTCAATAACTTTTATGTTTATCTTTCAAGAATACCCTAGTCCTGAGAAAGTATGTAAAACTAGAGGCCCATTGCATGAAGAGATTCGTGCAATAGGCCTTCCTTCCCCTGGCTGCCGGCACTGGTTTTCCTCCGGCACCCTGGACCCAGGCCTTCGCTCTGGCCACAGCAGAGAAGCCAAGCCTGGAGGCTTCTCCGCTCTGGCCACAGCAGAGAAGCCAAGCCTCTTCAGTCTTCAGTCGTCTTCAGTCTTCAGTCTTCACTCGGGCTGGAGCCTTCAATCTTCGCTCCGTGCCTGCATATGCAAATTAACTGCCATCTTTGTTGGGTTAATTTGCATACTCATCCTGATTGGCTGGTGGGCATAGCGGAGTGACACCAATTTGCATGTTTCTCTTTTATTAGTGTAGATAATTGGCAAGAGTATATGTGATTATCTTTCTGGACTGTCGTATATCAGTATAGAACTTGGTTTGAAGCTGCCCATTAGAATTTAAAGTGAATTTAAAAGTGAAATAAGATACACATTCAACTTATAAAAACATTTCTCAATTGGAAAAAAAGTTTGTGGTTACATGAAATCATAGTCATTCCTTTCTCTTCATAATTCCGTGCTGTTATCATTTCAAGCCTTGTACAGATCACCAAAGATTTCTCAACTGGTCATCCTGATTTCAGTCTCTCCCTTTTTGCAACTGTCCTTCTCATCCTTATCCCTAATGGACAAACACAATAGCAGTATTCACATATATGAAGGGCTATAGGAAAAGGCTATTGACTCATTCTGTGTATCTCTAGTAGTACAACTAAAACCTGTGGGTAGAAATAGTGATTCTGCATCCATCATGTCCCTCTCTTCAGAAACCTTCAATGGCCCTCCACTCTGGGCAGAATCTAAGTTCTCTATCCTGGTATTAAAAATATTTCATCATCGTATCTTATCACTTATCTTCCTATGTTCATGGTCTTGTTCAGTCAATACTAGTGTAGTCATTATCCTTCGAATATGACTTGTGAATTTTTTTGTGTGCTGTTCTCTCTGCCATCTTTTTCTGTTCAAAATACTGTTTAGAACCTACTTATCTTAAAGAACATATTTCAGATTCTTTCCTCTCCAAGAAGTACCCCTTCACCTCACTGTCCCCTAGTTATCTCTACTTCCTGGTACACTAACCTTTCATTCCACTTTTTTTTTTACCTTGAGGTTATAGAACATTCCACTTTCCTCTTCTAAAGGCTTATATCTTATTTCCTAATTCTCTTTGCAAAAATCTTGATATCAAAATGGGACCTCTAGGCTCCTTTGTTCACCCAAATTATTTAACCCTGGGTCTCAATTGAGTCTTTTCTCAATTTTAACTTATTAAAAATAATATTTGAATCCACTGGATATATTTTATGTAGTAGTTCTTCATAATAAGGTATTAATATAAAATCAGATCCAAAAATTAGACCTGTAGTTTTAATGAACGGTTTTAAACTGAAGATTTAAAATAGGTATGGTTCTATATTTCTTATTCATTGATAACTTAGCTATCACATTCATTGGTTACTAAAATTTATTTTTTAAAGGGTATCTAAAAATTACTAAATGTAGTTAGTATTTTTCTAACTACAAAGCACAGATCTAGGAGGAATTTGTTTATTTATATACCTCTTTATAATAATATGCAGAACAATTCAATCCAGAATGGCTCTAGATGTACCATGCTACATCACATGTAGTACACAGCACATTTACTGTAGACTCCTTTGACTTTAAATTCCTACTATTCAGTATGTCTTTATTATATATGTCAATGTTACCTGGTGCAACCTAAAAAGAAATGTCGTAACAATTATTTAAAAACTTATAATTGCCTAGCCCGCATGGCTCAGTGGTTGAGAATTGACCTATGAATCAGGAAGTCACTGTTCAATTCTCAGTTAGGACACATGCCTGGGTTGCGGGCTCCATCCCCAGTGTGGGGCATGCAGGAGGCAGCCAATCAATGATTCTCTCTCGACATTGATGTTTCTATCTCTCTCTCCCTCTCCCTTCCTCTCTGAAATCAATAAAAAATATATTTTTTAAAAAAACCTATAATCTTTTTGGTGGTTGATAGAATGTAACTTACCAAATGTAATATAGTTAGACAGTTAGAGTAAAGTTTTGTTCTCATTGTCAGATCCTGTATTATATAAAAATAATTTAAATAGTTTAGATTCAGTTCATTTGAATCAGCAAATTTATCTACCTATTCACAATTGACTTTTATATTAGAACATACTAAATGACGCTTTACTTGGAAATCCTGAAAAGACCCTATTTGTTTGGCCCAACAAATTAAAAAAAAAACAACAATTTTAAACTCAAAATTATTAATTTATTAGAAAAAATAATAGGATGTAGTTCAAAAGATAACAGTCACTGGTTATATACCTATGGAAAGAAGATAGGAATCACCAGATGTTCACAGACTGATTCAAGATTATACAAAACTACCTTCTATTTATGCTCAGATATATAATTTAGCCTTCTGTGATAGCATTTTGCCAGCAATAGTCCAAATTTGACTCAATATCTTGTGTTATATCTTTGTGGGCAAGAGAAAAATGTGTTTTGAATTATGGTATAGGTAGCAGATAGGTAAAAGAATACGTGTTAATTCTGTTACAATATCAAAATCAGAATGAGGCATTAAAAGAAAAATTATTACATACCAATGCTCTTCATGAACTTAGATACAAAAATCCTTAACAGAATTTTAGCAGATTTAAATCAGGAAGATATAAAAGTATGATAATTTATGGCCAAGTGACATCTTTGGAATGCATGGTTGATTTAATGTTTGAAATTCAACCTACGAAATTTCATAAGGGAAATTCCTCAATGTGATAACTAGCAGCCCAAGTGAACTGACAGCTAATATTATATTTAATGATGAAAGACCAAACGCTTTCCCCTTATACTAGGACAATGCAAATATGCCCACTTTCTCCACTTCTATTCAAGTTGTACTGGAGGTCATAGCTTGTTCAGTGAAGCAAGAATAAGAAATGGAAAAACACTTACATTTTAAAAGGAAGAAGTAAAACTTTGTTCACAGACAACATGGTCATCTATGTAGAAAATTCTCTGGAATCTACAAAAGATGCTACTAGAACTGATAAGTGAGTCAAGCAAGGTTACAGGAGATAGGCTGTTGTACAGAAATCAATTCTATTTCTAGATACCAGCAACAGCAAAGAATTGAAAGTTCAAATAATAGCATTCATAATAACAGCAAAAACACTTAAGGATAGTCTGGCATAATGTATTGAATATATCAGCAAAATTCTGAGAAAATAAAGACAACCTAAATGAGTGAAGAAATAGACTCCATGTTTATGGATCAGAATACTCAATATTGTTAAGACTTCAGTTTCCCCCCAAGTCTATAGATTAAGCACAATCTCAACAAGAATCTCAGCAGGCTCTCTTTCTTTGGTAGAAATAAACATTTTTTTAAAAAGAACAAAGTAGGGGACTTTATTTTTTTTATCATTTTTTAATATGTTTTATTGATTTTTTACAGAGAGGAAGGAAGAGGGATAGAGTTAGAAACATTGATCAGCTGCCTCCTGCACACCCCCCACTGGGGATGTGCCTGCAACTAAGGTACATGCCCTTGACTGGAATCGAACCTGGGACCCTTCAGTCCGCAGGCCTGCGCTCTATCCACTGAGCCAAACCGATTAGGGCCAAAGTAGGGGACTTTAGCTACCTGACAGCTGCACTAATCACAGCAGTCTGGTTTAGGCATAAGGATAGGAATATAGATTAATGGAATGGAATAGGGAGTTTCAATATAGACCTGCATAGACATAAACAATTGGTTTTTGACTAATGCACCAAGGTAATTTAGTGGGGGAAATTATAATATTTTTAAAAATCGGTGCTGGAAGAATTGGATAACTACATTAGAAAAAGCAAAAAAAATTTGACCTTTCTTCCACAGCCTATACAAAAATTAACTCAAGATTGATCATAGACTAAAGTGCAGCAGCTGAA